CACACACACACACACACACACACACACATGATAGAATTAACACTAGTTCTCTTTGGTTGAGAAGTAGTGTCATAGTGCTTGCTCTGACTTAGTTTATGGGGACAGAGCTCAAGTGATAGAATATTTGTCTAGCTGACTCCAGGCTTCCGTTCCCTAGTACTACGAAATAAATAAAATGATAAGAATATACAAGCATTATGTGTCAATTAAACACTAAAAGAAAAACACCACTAGCAAAACAGTGAAAAAGAATGTATGCGTGAATAGGTGAGTATGAAGCCGGGGATTGGCTTATACATATAATACTAATGACTCAGGTGGCTGAGATCTGAGGATGAAGGTTTAGAAGCCAGTAACTAATTGGGTAACAAGTAAAAAAGCTGGATTAGGTAGTGGTGCTGTGGTTCAAGTGGTAGAGCACTTTCCTTGAGCTGAAGAGCTTAGGGTCAGCGTTCAGGCCCACAGTTCAAGCCCCACGACCAACCAAAAAAGAAAGAAAGAAAGAAAGAAAAAAGCTGGACTAGAGGCATAGTTCAAGCAAGAAAGCTAACTGAAAGCATGAGACCCTGACTTCAAGCCCCAATACCAGTACAAAAAATAAAAACTGTAATTTTTTTTTTTTTTTTGTCGATCATGGTGCTTGAACTCTGGGCTTGGGTGCTGTCCCTGCACTCTTCAGCTCAAGGTAAGCACTCTACTGTTTGAGCCACAGCTCCATTTCCGGCTTTTTACTGGTTAGTTGGAGAGAAGAGTCTCATGGACTTTTTCTGCCTGGGCTGGCTTTGAACCGTGATCCTCAGATCTCAGCCTCCTGAGTAGCTAGGATTACAGGTTTGAGCCACTGGCGCCCAGGTGTAAAGATAATTTGTTCTCCCATATGATCTTAGTACTCAGGAAGCTGGCAGGAAGATGATTTCTAGGCTAGCCTGAGTTACATAGCAAGACCCTGTTTAAAAAAAAAATTCGGGGCTGGGAAGGTGGCTCAGTGGTAGAGTGCTTGCCTTGCATACATGAGGCTCTGGGTTCGATTCCTCAGCACCACATAAGCAAAAAGAAAAATAAGCCGGAAGTGGTGCTGTGGCTCAAGTGGTAGAGCGCTAGCCTTGAGCTGAAGAGCTGAGGGACAGCACCTATGCCCAGAGTTCAGGCCCCATGACTGGACCCCCCCAAAAAAAATTCTTGGAAGTGGCACTGTGACTCAAGTGGTAGAGTGCTCACCTTGAGCTGAAGAGCTGAGGGACAGCACCCAGGCCCAGAGTTCAACCCCCACGACCAACAAAAAATAAAATAAAATAAAGCAGCTTTCAAATGGACCAGGCATTTGTGGCTCAC